AACATTTTATTTTGAACGAATTCAAAATATATAAGTTACCAAATATCTATTCTTAATTGTTTGGACAAAACTATTAATTGTTGTTATTAAACTGTTATACTATATGGGTTGTTAGTTTGATAATATTAACATGTAGTTATAGTTGTAAGTTTTTTTAGTTCTTTAACATTTTAAAAATATATAAAATATGTTTAATATATTTAATATTTATTTTAATTAATATTTTATATATTTTAAAATAATAAAAAATATATAAAAACTAAAAGAGCATTGTCAAGTAAATAGGTCAAACATTTTCAAAAAAAAAAAAAAAGTAAATAGGTCAAACAAGTTCGCCTACTAAAGTTGAATGCAATGAGTAATGATCTTGCAACGCAATTGAATATTCTCACAACAATTTTAGGTACCGTAAACATAATGATTTAGGACTTCTCCGACAAATAGACAAGAAAGACACAGAGAAGAGCAGGGAAGAGGGGATGTACCTAAAAAATACAGAATTTTTTTTTTTTTCAATATTTTTGGCTAAGAGGCCTAGGGATCAAAAAGGTACGTATGTATATATTTGGAGAAGAAAAGGTGTGTTTTATATTTAGTAAGTCCGCTTTAAGATACTCAATAACTCTTTTTTTTTTTTTTTTATGTTTAGTGTGAATATTTAATTTTTGTATATTTTAAAATTAATTTTTTTGATGAATGATAATAAAAGTGTATTCTTTACACCACTTTAATGTATTCAAAAAAATTTATTTTCATAAGTACTAATCTTAAAATTTAAATCATAAACTAAACCATAGAATTGCTTATCAATGCATCTAACCTTTCATTCAATAATTGTCAGTATTGAGCTTGAATTTGATGATTAAAACTAAGATGACCGAGGATAATAGATCAAACAAAATAAAAGGTTAGGAAAAAAAGCGTCTTACATTAGAAAAGGTCGGGATTGGTGGGGTGGAATTTACCATCGAAACTACTCAAAAATCGAGGGCAGCCATTAGAGTTTTTTCGAAAGTTTAAGCAACAGCCGCCCCTGGCTGTACTTAGCCCTGCCCTGGGTACACCATGAAAATTTTTACAAAAGAAAAATAAAAATTCTAATGTTTGTACATGTAAAATAGAGTTCGGTTGTTGCGATTCTCCGTTGGTGTGAATGCAACGATGAACATACAAACAAGAAACAAGTTTACGTAATTTGAATATTTCTTTAATGATTTTGGCACGCTTAGTTCATATATCTAGTCAAAAGAAATAGTGAAATTAAAATAAGTGATTTTGAGCTTCATTGACTTTTGCTTCTGTTGATATATTTTAATCTTCTTGATATGGAAGCTTGTTGTACTTTGCAGCCATATGAATATTTCTTAAACATTAGAATATGCATGGTTGCATCAGAATTTAGGCAATTTTTCACGCTGCTTCGTTTGATTAATATAAATGGCAACAATTTCTTTTGAGTTTAAGCACAGATGTTCCTAGTTTTATCCGACAAAATCAATGAGGGATCAGGTCTCCAATGGCATTCCGCACGCTTCCCTATCGTGGTCGGTGCAATTTTTCTTTTTTCTATAATGTTCGGGGACGGAGGAGCATTATTTAAAGAAATATATATAAATTATATAATAACAGATAATATTTTTTAATTTTTTAA